TCCCTAAATTAGATTGAAAACCCACACCTCTCTCGAAAGATTGAAGACAATATATTTAATTAAGAATTAAAATCTTTGTTTTACTGCTTGAGCTTTTGACTTAATTTTTAACATACAACTCGGAATCCAGGAGAAGTGTATTGATCCCAGTTGATTTTTGTATGCATAAAACTTAAACAATCAATAACACAAACCAGGTGGTGGTGGTCGCACAGGAGAGAGATAAAAGAAGAAGCAGGAGAGAGAGAGAGAGAGAGAGAGAGTTTTGTTAAAATATTATTTTATTATTATTTTACTTTATTTGTTTATTTTAAATACTTTAAAAGATTAAAAATTAAAGAGGGTGTACCATGGGTATTTTTGGTAGTTAAATAGGGTGTACTTAGTTAATTTTACATTTTAATTTAAACATTAGGGTGTACTTAGATCGTAGGGTATACTCAGTTAATTTTAGGGTTCGTTTAGCAGCACTCTTAAATAAAACTGCATTAAATTATAGAGAGCCACTATGAGTCTCTCTCTCCTCAGATTTAGGAGCTCCTAGAGATCTCCATATTTTAGGAGGTGGATAGGGAGCATGGTTGAAGTTGTATTTTTCCAATTCCTCCCTAAAATTTGTCTAACGACGTGGTTTAGGGAGGCCATTGTGGATGCTCTTAGCTGACCACCTTATGTGGCAACTGATGTGTCATGCCATGTAAATTAATGAATGTTGCCATGAGGTCACTTACTAGGAACGCTAGGGTTTTTTAATTGACATGGCGACATTTATTAATTGACTTGGCATGACCAAGGTCTAAAATATCGGTAGTCCAAAAACACGGAAATGTCAATGGAAATATTGGGATATTATCGATATCGATAAAAATAGAATAAAAATCACGGAAAATGGAAGAAAAACTTGGAAATTTTTATTGAAACTTTGCAGGATGTTTATTTAGTTAATTATCTACTAGTTTATCACAAAAAATTGAAAGGAAATGCATTGCATGATGGATTTAACTGATTTAAGTTGATTATATAGCGAGCTGGCAAACACTGTAAGTGTAGAAAATATATAGTAATTAATGAAATAAGATTAAACACACCATAATCATTTATATATAATGAATTACTACAATATTTTACACTTTATACATTGCATGGTAAGATACATGAGTGACTTAGTACCACATAGAGTTCCTATGAGGTTCAAAATTTTCACTATCTTCATCATCTCTATGTGTAGAGTAAGTATATTATGAAGAGTAGTCATTCTCATCTCATGTGAAAATTTGTTTCTTGCAAAAAGAATTCAAAACAAAACCATGTATATATATATATATATATATTTTAGCATATTTTCACAAAAACATAAGTGATATAGTGGTTAAGGTGTTGAAGGAGTAAAATGGGAGGGGTTCGAATCCCCTTGGTGTTTTTTTCAATATCGAAATTTATCCTAGATAATAAATGTTAGCTTACAGACATTTTAAAGACGTTATAAATATTACATGCCGAAAATATAATCACAAACACATCCTCAGCGAGATGGATAAGGCGCTGTGGTTGTTGATAGAGGGGGAGGGCTTCGAATCCCTCTATGCGCAACAAGGGAGGCTTTTCAAAAAAATTCATGTATTTTTGGGTTTCATATCCCGATATTATCGCGATATATTGCCCAAATCATTCATAAAAATGTTGAAATTATCGTCCCCAATAATATCGATATATTGACGATAACTCCATGGATATTATCGGGGTGGTCAATGTTGTGTGTCTAAATAGCATTACTCTTTTGAAAAACTGCTGTGAGTAGTCAAAGTGTTTGGTAAATTTTTATCAGAAGTGCTTTTAGTGTGTATAATGACCAAAAAGGACATGATGATGAAACTGTTTGTTATTTTCTTCATTGTTTTTCTACTTCAAAAGAAAAAAGAAAACCAACTTCACTACATACATTTTTTTCTTTTTTTAATCTACAACTTCACTACTCTTTGTTTGTTATTTTCTTCATTCTTTTTCTACTTCAAAAGAAAAAAGAAAACCAACTTCACTAAATAAATTTTTTATTTATTTTTTAATCTACAACTTCACTACTCTCTCTTCGTGCCACCCTATATAAGATTTCATTTGTAGATGCACTTGTGGTGTTTCTAAGGTGGGAGATGCACTTTTGTTTCCAATATACGGGATGTTGCCTCCTTTAAAGCATTTTCATTGAGCAAGTGCTCAACAAAGGTTTTTTTTGATATCAGCATCAAGCGACTTGAAGAGAGACATTATTTGTGGCTTATCCAAAATGATTTTTGACGCCGTAATTTGATCCATAGCAAAATAGCATTGAGATATCACAAATTTGTTTGCAGCATTGAAGCATTACATTTTATATGGAGAATGATTCTTGTCTCACAATAACCATTTCAAGTGGGATTACCACGTCTTTAGAAAACAAAAAGATAACCTCTAGAGCCCTTCCCCAACCTCACATTGTCATCCATGTATGTGATCTGGAGTTTAACCTCACTTTCACCACCATATCAAAACTCCAACGCTCCAACCTTCAGTTCTGGTGGCTCAAATAGAACTTGGATCCATTTATCGTCTAAAGCCTTCAACTTTCCTGCAAGTGCAGAGATGAGAAGAAAAATAACTGTGCATCAATCAAGTAGAAAAAGGAACATACTTGACAATGTGAAGAAAATTTGTGAAAGGTAAATATGTGAGGTAAATGGTGTTTAAAGTTCAAACTACACAGCAAAGCAAATAATCGGGAAAATCTTCAAGCATTGGCAATATCCTAACCTTGGCAGCCTACCTGTTAAAGAGACTTCTCCATCCAAGAACCCAAAAGCAGAGAAGGATACTTTGTCTTTAACAACGTCAGAAGCTTCAATAACTTGAATCATGTCATCATATGACCAATAACAACAACAGATAAATGCATACCATGCTTTTAACAACAATGAGCAGAGTATCATCTATGTTACAGAGGGCCATACAATTGCTCATGCTAATGTTAAAAAACAAATGCCAAGGCAGTTGTGGTAACTGCCATTGTTGTTTTCAACACCTGGATCAAGATGAAAATCATATGTCATATGGATGCTTGTTCTTCCACTTTTAACTTCTTTGAACTTTGAAGTCAAGACTAATTTTGAACTAGGAGTTTTGAGTTTTGGCCACAATGCCAGAAAATAAGATATTTCAGTTCATCCCAAAAGTTAGGTTGTAATATGCATCTCCAGAAATAAAGTCCACACCTTAATAGTTTTTTACCTCCGAAAATAAGAGGGCATTTCACTGGTTCACTAACACAATAGCTCTGCAATTTTTCAGCCACTTCAGCTACCTTTTCTTCTTCTTCCTTTTTCAGCAAAACCCCTCTATCAGAATGTGACACCTGATTCAGATCATAATTCATATTTCATGGATCAAATATCCAAAAACATATTGAACCCACTAACATAAACCTATTAATTTTCCAAAGAAAAAGCAAGGTGGCAGTGAAATTAATAGCAGCAGCACAAGTATGAAGATATATACCTAAGTTATTGTCCCAATATCTAGGAAAACACATGTGGCTTGCAAAAGTTAACCATCAACCAATTGGGTTGAAGAAACCAGAACCAGTGATGAGGTTTCCCAGTTAAAAACCTCATCTTCTCTTTTGATGACAACCTCAATTCTCCACTAACAACCCCAAAAACTCCAATTGGATTCATCATGATTAGAATTCTTGAGTAATAAAACAAATCTCATTAACAATCACCTACATCAACTCATGCTTCAAGAATTTCACGAACCACATACCATCTCTCATCTCAGTTTGTGAAATTAAAGCCTCAGACTGAGAAAGGAGATTGACCCGAGTTCGTATGAAAGCAAAGCACCCCAGAAAAAAAAAAATCTATATGAATAGACAACCAGCTAAACAAGGGCTCCAATTCCACCCATCAATTTGTTTATATATATTATCATTCCAAACAAAAACCCCATAATAAAAACAATTCAAAATAGAAAACCCTAGAAAAATACCCAATTATAATCTAACAAAAATAAACCAATAAAAAGCATAATTTCATAAGAATAAGCTTGAGTGAGCGAGTGGAAAGAGAGGAAGAGAGAGACATAGCAGATTGAACCCATCAAATATCACCAAGAACGGAGACAGACAGAGAAGAAGAGTGGAAAGAGAGGAAAGCACAATACAAGAGATAGAGCGAGCTAGAGAGAGAGACAACAAGAAAGAGAGCGCCGACAAGAGAGAGCCATCGAGAGAGAGCCGTTGAGAGGAAGATGGCGTCGATGGCGGCTGGTGATGACTGATGCGAAGAAGACGATGGAGTCGATGAAGCTCATTACTCTCTCCCTCACTACTCTGGTTTTCGAACAAATGAAGAAGGAACGGAGTTTGGTATTGCTCAATGTATTGGAGGACAAAGGACTGTCATTTTGGAAAATAAGTGAGGATATTATGGGAGAGTCAAAACAATCATTAAACCACCGGTTAAATTTTTTTTTAAGCAGCTTTAAAAAGCTGGGTTGTGAGGGATTTTAAAAAACAAGGGTCTTTGACAGCAACTTTTTTAAAAAGCCCAATTTCTCATGTTTACCAAATACTCAAACTACCATAACTTTTTATTAAAGCTGCTTTTTTTAATTTAAGCAACCCCAAACGCCACCTAGGATTGTATGATGTTTAGAATGCATAAGGTTTTTGGTTTTGAACTACGCTGCAATGATGTCTGTTTGGATAATGTTGTAGTTCGAATTAATTCATGATAAAATTGGACGATATGGTAGATTTTCTAAGATTTCTATAGGCGCTGATTATTTCATGAAAATATGTTGAGAATTGAATTTTTGGTGAATTTATAAAGTTAAAACATATGCACAGAATTTTTGCTGACATATTCTTCATTATAAGTAAAGATTGTCGAATGACTCACCTGAAGTTTCTCAAATGACCTGATTTTTGGGTGCGTTTCAGATATAAGTGTCTTCTTGAATACTACAAAATTTCATGATTATTGGAATTATAGTTTGTTTATGAGAATTTTATAAGTGATCTATGTTCAAGGAAAAGAATGTGCTGGCAGTTTTCTGAGTAACCTTGTAGGTCAATTTCCAAACGTTTTAATTAGCTTAAATGACTCTATATTTTTCTATATGAATATTAATGTCTCTAGTTTGTTTCCATGAAATTTGAGGGCAATTAGACATATAAAGTAATTATGGTAAATTTTTAAGTAAGTACATATCATTGCTGGAAATTGCTTGACAGTCTTGTGGTTATTTTGTGCACTTTTATTTTGTGATGTAAACTACATTAGCAGTATGCATTGAAAGTTTTTTCACACCATCTTATAGATGCGTTGATCTCTTTTCTGCTTGGATAAATATATCCCACAATCCATCATTTTCTTCTCATTATATTGATTAATTTCATCCTTCCACAGTTGTATGCTTTTTGGGCAAACCCAACTAGGGTCTTACCTTTAGCAGTGGTTGATTTAGGCTGTCATAGACTTAACCTAGTAGTCATAAAGTCCAACAGGAACTTTTCCAGCTTCAATCTCAAACCTTTTCTTTTTTCTGATCTCTTTTAGTTCTGGACTTTCATCATCATCATCATGGTGTCCTTGTCATGCTACTTCATCTCCTTCTTCTTCGTCTTCATCATCTTCATTTTCTTTTCTTTTTTGCAAATTGAACAAAACTAATTAGAAACTGCATTCGATAAAATAGAAACTGCATTGGAGAAAACAGAAACTGCATTACAAAAAATAGAAACCGCAATGCATAAGCCACTGTTTACATATTCTAATTACCTTGTTGTCAACAGGGTCTTCATGAAGAAATATTTTATCCTCTTCCTTTTCTCTAGTAGTTTTTTGCTTTTTAGAGGTTTTGAAAAGAACCTATACAATGAGAATGATTTAGAATAGATTTGCATTCAAGATACATTAAAATAGAACATGCGATAAATTGCATATCTTTATGTCATTTAAGTCCTTGATTTCGTTGAATCTTGTGTGAAGTTCAACAAGACTCCATTTAACAATTGCAGGAGTTTCCTTCTCTTTGCCAATGATTGGTTGTATTATATTGGTCCTTTTACACAGCAGAAAATGCACAATTCAAAAACAAGATATAGATACTATGTTAGAAATCGCAATGCATATTGTGAATTTATTAGCAAGACATAAAGACCAAAAGCTCTTATAAAGTCTTCTCCTTCCTTCTTTGCTTTTGTCTTTGTGACCAATGAGGTATTTATGTAGCTTGAAACAGCTCTTGCACACAAGTAGCTTGATAGTGTGTCTAGCTTCTCACAATGCTCAACAATTGTCCACTGCAAAGTGGTTGAAGAGTTAGTGAAGAGCAATGTTATGTAGAGCTAAATCATGACTAGGCTGACCATATCCTTATCATAATCAACAACCTCCTCTTCCTCTACCTCTTTTTCTTCTTCTTCGGTTTGTTTTTTTCCTTTCCTTTTCTTGGTGGTCTTCTTTATTTTTGTCTTGGGCTTTTGTTTTTGCGGTTTCTTTGTTAAGGCAATTGCGTTGTGTATTTCTTCTTCTACGAGTCCTTTTGATGGTTTTGCCTTTCCAAAGTGCCTTGTTCTAAAGGTTGGTTTGTTTTTTTCATTGTCAAGTTTGACAAATTTTCCTTCCTTTGACAGTCCTAGAATTTCAGTCACTGCATCTGCTATGATCTTGAATGATTTGGTGACAAATTTGAAAGATTTTGTAGCAGGATCAAACTGCTTGAGCAATTTTACTAAGTTGAGGTCTGACTTAATCATGTGCTTCATGTAAACTCTTCCGTTGTAAAACGACACAATCAATTTCCAGAAAGGTGTTTTCTGGAGGAGTTCCTTTTGCTTGCCATTTAGCCTGTCTTTGACGTCTGTGATGATGTTGTTGAGGGCACTCACATTGCACCGAAACTGGACATAGTCCGGGTGCTTTGCTTTTCTATCATAACTTGGCTTTGGTTTTGTCGTTTGAGCTATTGATTTAATTCTTAGCTTTGCTTGGTTTTGATCTTCCTTCTTTTTTGGTGACTGTTCAGATGCCATTTGTGATCTGAAACAAGAATGAAAACACTATTAGGACAAGTAAGTATAAACTACAATGCAGAAGTATAATCTGCAATGCATAATCATAAACTGCAATTGCAATACACTACCCTAAAAACAACATTAGGACTAGCGAGGCCAAAATCATAGCACAAACCCAAAATCAAAAACCCAAAACATAAAGGACATTGCAAAAATCCCTAGTGCTAGATCGTTGAGTTTCTTACATTCTTTTGGAGAAAGTGAGAATGGGTTTCGATCATTGGTGGTTGTTGTTGACGTCATTGCTAGTGGTTGGTGGTGAACTATCATCGACGATGCTCCTCGTTGATGGTGGTTGAGTCTCTGAGTAATGGGTTTTGGGAAGGAGTGGGAAGGACGACTAAAGGCGGTTTCTAGGAGTGAATGAGAATTGTCGTGTGCATTCAAGTTGTCGCAGGCGTTAGGTAAGCGTTGTTGTTTCACGTAAAATTCTTGGTCTTGTGGTGTCGTTTTGGTGATCTGTTTTTGGCCTCCATTGAATTAATGAAATTATTAAAAAAAAAAAGCTTCAATGGCATTCTTGGTAATTTATAAGATTTGTTAGTCTTTAGGCCCAAAAAATCGAAGGTTGGACCCAAATATATTTCCGGCTCAGTACGACACCTAACTTGGGAAGAAACCCTACTTAGGCACGCAAGAGTCCGTCGTATGCGCTTGCATACGTGCCAAGCCAAGCAAATACGTAACCCACAACGCAGAAAGGTCACGACAAGCCTGTAAAATGTACTGACTCTTTGAACCCGTGCTTATTATCTCGTCAAGCGCCATTTGGCCCAATCATAGTCCTTTGCAATACGGCAAAGCTCGAGCACAAGCACGCCAAATAAGACGCAACACCAAGTGAAAAATCTTTGTTTTGGCACTAAGCCATGCTACAAGCTTAAGTGGGCCCAAGCCACACAAATGCCTGTGGCTTGCTGAGCGGGTTGTGGTATGAATGAATACGAGTATTCACGAGGCCCGTTAATGGGCGAAGAAGTGGAAGTTTTGGGCTGCTTGGGAGCAAAAAAATAGCTCATTTCTTGAGCCCAAACATATGGGTAAGAGTATGAGAGAAAAAAATAGCCCATTACCTTAGTAAAAGTGGCCCATCACTTTAGGGAGTGGCCTAGCAGCTTGAGAAATATCTCAAGAAACCTCCATCACATGACTAGAGCCAAATCCAAGACAAACCATCGTTAAAACCAAAGGAAATTCACGTGTGCAGGCTGCTGGGAGTAAAACACCCTTCAGACCAGTGCCTTTACCTACTTCTTTCCCCTACCAACTCTTGCCAGAAAGTAGGGAAGGAAAGAAGGAGTGAGTGTTGCTAGAGATAGGAAGGTGGCGCAGAGACCAGCTGTGGGATGACTCTAGAGCTCCAAAAAAATCTTGTCCTAGAGTGTTTGGATTAAGGAAATTTCATGAAAATGGGTTGAATCAAAGGAAGAGAATGGAAATAGAGGAGACGACTTGGCAAATTTGGGGAGAACCAACTAGGGTTTAGGAATAAGGAGCTTCCAGGGCCTATAAAAGAGGGCATCTCCAACCCAACAAAAGAACACATCCAGAGCTAGCAAGCATCCTCACTCACTGCTGGAACCTTCAATTTCAAGCCCTGTTCTCCCATATTCTTCCTTTTTCCCTTCTGGCAAATCATCCAAGAGCGCCATGAAGCTTTCATCAAGCGGTTGGAAATTTACACAAGCCACCCATCCTTTCACCCTGATCTCTCCCTATCCCCTTGCTTTGAACCTCTATTTCTCTTGATAAATCCAAATTTTCTCTCTCTAATGCTAAACTCATGAATGCTCTACTCCCATGTCACAAGCTTCTTAGGCTAAGCCATAATATTGATATGTAAACAGTTGTCGGTTTTGTTGGTGAAAGAAACCAAAGTGCTTCTTAAGGCTCCCCAAACCTTTCAAAGCACTCTTGGGCCCTGATTCTTGAACTCAGGCACATGGGCAACTCTATCCATTCGCTCTTTACAGCAGCTCAGGCCCATATGTAGCTACTGGAACGAAAAAGCCCCTACAGTTAGTCGTAGTTTAGTAATTTTAGGTAGATTTATTAGTCATTGACCTTAATCAAATTAGGTGAAATTTGATTGTTATCTAGCACAATAGTAAACTCCCTATTAACTGTAAACCAAAGCTCCTTAAAGGAAGCAACATAACCATAAACTAGGGGTGGAAATTGACACCGGAAAACCGGAACACCAAGCCACACCAGATGGAAAAAATCGGAAAATAACCATGTTGACTAAAAAGTCAACAAATCGGCACCAAACCAGACTGGACTAATTCAAACCGATTTCGGTGCCGGTTTCATACCTTACAAA